CCAATGCACGGGATATCACACAATCAAAAACTCATAGTCTCTCAAATCCAAGATTTGGACAAAAAAAATCAAACAAAAACTAACTTCAACAAGTTCCTAATCTAAACATCCAAAGAAAGCCCGGAAAGGAGTAGTGAACTTAGCATCAAAACAAACCTCCCCTTTCTTCTTTGTAACTCCTGGTAATCCCTCTAGACATCTTGCGGCGAAAGTTAAGCCCTTTTTATCCAAATCGTCCGTGAGTCGAAGGGAAGTATCCACTCGAATCACACTAGCCCGCACAAATCTAAACGGTTTGACAACCAACTTGAGTGTCTTACCGTTAACCATCTCACATTTGATGACGACATCATGTTGGTGCAAATCATTCTCATCCGTAACAACCCTCTCAATATCTTCCAGAGCGGCCACGGATTGTTCATTTGAGCTTTTCACAACTTCTGGACACCTTTGGGCAACCTGGGAATCATACTGTCGTTTAAACCCGGTCGGGTTTGTGGCTGTCCCGGTCGGGTTTTGCCCCTGGACAGTCGGGTGGATCTCTTGGGCAGATTCTGCCAGACTGGATTGGGCAGCGGGTTCAACAGTTTCCACAATTTCCGCAGGTATGTTTTCCTTTCCCCCAATTTTTATTTGTTCATCTTCAGCTTTCTCACTTGATTTCACCGTATCATCGTCCCTTTTTGCTAGCTTATTGCAAATAAACGGGTGGTGCCCATATATCTTACAATGGAAGCAAAAAATTGGGAATGTTTCATACACCACAAATTGTTTAACTACCTTCCGGGATGGTAGTCGAATAGGAAATGAAAGTGGCGGTGGCTTCGAAATATCAACTTCAATAAGCACTCTAGCAAAGTGGTGATTAGACCTATCATGTGTGACTTTGTCCGTAGCCAATGGGATACCAACCATGGATGCAATCTCACTCAAGGCATCCTCATTCCAAAGTTTCAAGTGTAGGTTAGGGAATTTAACCCAAATAGGTACTTTGAGAAACTCTTCATCATCAAAGGAAAAATCATCCGATAGTGCTTTTAACATAAGTAGTTTCCCAAAAATGGTGTAAGGTCCCTCTTTCAACACTTTTGTCCTATCATCCTCACTTTGAAATTTAAATATAACCCAACCCTTATCATGGGGCTTAATAATGCACTTAACACCCCATGTGTTCTTCAAATCATAAATCGCTTTTAGACCGGGAAATTTTCCGGTGAAACAACCGACTAAACAAAAACCCCACATTTCAACCATACTAGGCATAATTCTATCGGAAAAGTCAATGGTTGTGCCACTAGGCGGGATGTACCTCAATTTAAAGCCATTCGAGGGTGCCCGATTGTCCTTAAAAAGGGAGGACCAAGGAGTAGCAGTCCCTGAGCTAGCTGCAGCAGTAATAGCCTGGGTTTTCACAGTATCATTCTTTAAAGCTTCAGTTTGTGCATGGTTTTCTTTCCCAGCAGCATTGACCACATCTCCAATACTCTTAGTACCTGCAGTTTGCACAGTTTGTTCCCTCAGTTCTGCTGGAGGAGTGACTATCTTCCCTGTCTTAATTCCAGAGCATAATGCAGGGAAGTCCTCATCGGTATTCACCAAAGCAGCAAAGGAAGTTCTGGTAACTCGCGCAACTGGGAGTTCACCAGATACTTGGTTCTTCTTCCTGGCCATGGCTTCAAAACCAGGTGAGAGGTATGAACAGCAGCGAGCACCAAACTGTGTGGACTCAACTTGAGTAACCCAAATGAACACAGACCGCCCTTTACAACATTTTCGGCTTTAGTCGAGGAGGGACGTCGAGCAACAGTACACCAGAATCGCAGGGCATTGAAGAAGACGAGCAAATTTCAACCTTTTTAGATGATTGAAAAGCTTGTATTTGCTTGATCCCCACACCCAAGAGAAGCTAAAACCACCTTCCAAACCAAAAATGATGAAGAGGAATGGGAGTAATGGTCGTTGACTCTGTAGCGTGAACAGTGATTCCGCGTAAGCTTTTGAGTGAAATTAGACCAAAAATCCCTAAAATGAGCTCGAAAATTGAAGGATTTACACCCCAAAGAAGTTTAGGAATTAAATCAACCAATATCCAAGCTCAAAATCAAGATTAATGGTGGAAAATCGAGTTGAGAAGCGGTTGGCGTAGAAGAGCCTCACGGTGAGGGAGAGAAACAGCTCTCAACTTCTCGCCCTAACATGCTCCTACTCTAACAAAGGGAGTGGTTGGTGTGCTATACGAAGCTATGAGCTACCTGCTTCAGGATGATGATGGGCAGATAGTTGAGGCCCATTCCATAAGTGCTGGGTTGGATTATCCTGGAGTCGGGCGCATAGCTTTTGTGAGGACATCAAACGAGCTGAATATTATAGCATAACTGATGAAGAGGCTTTAGAAGCACTTACAAGATTATCCTGGTTAGAGGGCATTATTCCTGCTCTGGAGACATCACAATATCACATGCACTGGCACTTGGAGAAATTGTGCCCGACTATGCCAGATGGCACAAGGGTTGTGCTAAACTGCAGTGGCAGAGGGGATAAGGATGTTCAAACTGCTATCAAATATTTGAAGGTTTGAGGGAATTTATTTTTATTTTGTTGTGGATGTTTGACACGGGGATGTGTTATTTTGATAATTTGTAATAGAAATTTTACTTCAAGAGTGGGTTTCTTTCCCATATATATATATATATATATATATATATATATATATATATATATATATATATATATATATATATATATATGGGAGAGTTCTAGTGAGCACCCCTCTTAAAATGAGAACCCGTGAGAACCCCTGAGAACCGGTGGTATTTTTGGCTAATTTTTTTTTGTGTATGTTCCTTATCAAGTCTAGTTCATCCATACCAAATTTGAGCAAAAAATTCAATCGGGAAGGTCATCAAATGATTTTTGAAAGAAAATTGGTCCGGAATATACATATAAAACGCAGTTTTCTTTCAAAAATCATTTGACGATCTGACCAGATGCCAATCTTTCAAAATTCAACCGCTTGATGCCAATCCAATTTAAGTGACAAATCCCCCAAGGGCCAGGATACGAGCGGCCCACTATCCTTTGCAGCATCATCAGGAGCAGGCCCACATCCCAGCTGGACGTAAGTCTCCACAAGTTAGGCGGGAAACCCAGATTCTGGCGGGAAGCGCATTTAATGCTGAAGATTTGGTGGTTGGGACACCAGCCACACACAGCCCTCCACGTCAGCATAACCAACTGCCCATTGTTGGTATAAATAGCAGCATTTATTTCATTGTAAAGGGTTGGCAACTTACTATTTTTAGCACTCTAGCTTATTACCTTATTATTCGCAGCTCTTCTACTCCAGGATAAGACGAACGGCCTACGGCCTTAGCAAGAGTATTGTATCGGGGCGTTATTTATCATTAATAATATCCAGTCCTTTACTGCTTCTGACTCTCTCCAATCCATCTTACTTGCCTGTTGGGTCAGTTAATCAATCACATTTAAGTCATCCACTCGAAATTCTTGGGCTTACGTGTTGGACCCAAGGGTTGAAGGAATAAACCTCAACAGACTTTTTCATTGAACCTTTTTATCGTCGTTTTCTCTAATATTCTCCTCTTTTTCATTATCATGTTCAGATTCAATCATTTGTATTACACCTTGAAATAAAATGTAATATTTTTATATTTTAAATTGTGGTACGCTTCTTAGATTTAGTTAAATTTGCATGTTATAATAATCCTATTTTTCAAAATTTTATAACATTTTATATGTTTTGTAAAATAAATGAGTTGGTGATTAAGATTATTAAAAGAAGAACGAGCATACTTCAGATTAGTTATAGAATAGTCAATAGTTACAATTAGTTTTGAGTGGACCGACAATAGTTGAATTCATTATTTTCCATTTTTCCTTTTAACTTTTATCATTTTAATTGTGTTCATATCAGTTTGATTAGTTATTTTTTCACTAAACATTTATAATTGTATTAGTTAGTTTTAGATTTTATTGTTTATTCATAATGTTAGCTAATCTTGATTATGGTGATAGTTTTATTAATTTCACACTTCTAAAGCTAAAATGATTATTAGATTATTAAAAAGTAGATTTTTTGGTTCATTGTATATATGTTGCCTTTAAAATTGTGTTTCTTATAGTGTGTTTGTAGTTACTTCATTTCTTATTTATCAAACTAAAATTGCCTAAATCCATTTCATTTACTGCAATCAATGAAAATTGGCTAAAATGGAGGTGGAACATCTTTCTCTATAAATATATATCCCCAACTATCATCAAATTCATAAATCTATTCTATACTTTCACTTCTATTAAAAATAGACTCAAACTTCAACTTTTCTCACAATTACACTTTCAATAGATGAATTAGTAAAACTCAAGAAGAAAATCATATTTATATATTTCATATTTTTCACTTCTTTCTAATGTTAAGTTTACAAACTTGAATTGCATATATCTTATTGGTATTGATAAAAATGTGTAATTTTGAAAAAACAAAAAAGAAAGCATAATTATTGGAAAAGATGATGAGTCCGCTTGGAACCACTGTTTTTCGAATTATCAGGCTTAACCGCCAGCTTTTTCACCAAACACGTAACTTTTGCTTTCGCGCGCTGAATTGTGTAATAAGCAGAAAAAGTAAGGTTGGTGTTACTTTTCTGGCTGTATTGGCTGAAGTTACCGTATATGACCATTTTAGCTATTTTTACATATAATTTTTTCTTTATTTTATTAATAAAGTATATTTTAAAAATAATTTTTTCTTAAATCAGCAGAATCATCCAATGCAGCCACTTCAGCCAGAACTTCATAAATTTCAGCAGAAACAGCCAAAGCAGCCGATTTTCGTGCTACCAAACGGGCTCGATGTTTGAATCTTTTGTGATAAAATTGAAAGAATAGCATAGATTTGTAAATTGGATGATAGTTTGAGATAAAATAAACTAATAATGTTAATCTAATGGAGTTCAATTCATAGCAAAATTGAAAGGTCAATTGGGGGACACAAGGAGCGCAATAACAACGGTAAAGATCAATTAGGAATCCATCAGGTACCAGTTTGATATATTTTTTATGTTATGTATATAGAGGAATTGATTCAATAATTAAATGCACCTTATTTATTTTTATTTTTATTTGATGGGAAACACTTTCTATTTTAATACACATACGGATCAAACAAAAAGAAGTATTAGAATCGATCTAGTGGGGATAAGTTGGTGCCATTCCTTGATCACTCTGAGCTGAGACGACTGCTAGCTGCGCCCTAATTCAACGATAGTTTCTATAGATGGGAGTGTACATGCAACTCTCAGCATACTTCACTAAATCCGCAGGCCGAGGAAGACGAGTTGCAACACCTGAAGTTTTTTTCACATGCAGTTTGTTAAAGTAAACTATGTCTAGTAATCTTGGCTTCTGATTAATGTTGAACAAAAAACAAAGAATTATTTTTTGAAATTCCATACATACCAAGTTCATATGCTTTAGCAGCTACGCTAGCAGCTATATGAGCAGATATCTTCCTGATGTTTGTGAAAGGAGGATAAATCATTCCTTGCGCATAGTGTTCTTCAGTTACTTGGCTGGCCAAAGCCTCAGCTGTTCTCATAGTAATTAATAAATGCATAAAAGAATGTTAAAAGCAGCCATGGGAATTCAATCCTCTAATTCTAACCAGCGTGAAATGCATGATATGTACTACGTAGTATATTGTTATCTATTATTATTGTAACTAAGGCTTGGATGTTGCTGTTGTTTTTTTATGACAACTGAAACTCATTTTAGACCCCATTGCTGCACACTTACAAGCTGTTAGGAGCATATCATCATGCACGCGGATGGTACCAGACATGACCAGACCAAAACCCAGCCCAGGGAAAATATAGCAGTTGTTAGCCTGTGCAGACATCAGAGGACAAAAATCAATATACTCAATGACATAAAAGGTCTTTTATACATAAATTTGTGTGTAAAAGAAAGCAAATCTCATATTGTATCATAACCTGGCCAGGTATGTTAAGTTTGCCGTTGTATTCTACTGAAGGAAACGGGCTGCCACTTGCAAACACTGCACGACCCTATTTAAAAATGTATATAACATCGGCAGATCTGTTATTGTATTGGCCCAACTAATTAAAGAAGGGTTGTCTTCTGAAAAACTGAGAGCATCACCTCAGTCCATTTGTAAGCCTCTTCAGCAGTACATTCGGCTTGTGATGTTGGGTTGGAAAGTGCCAATATAAGAGGTCTCTAAAATGCATGCAATTCAATATATAGAACTTCAATGTTCAGGTTGAGTTTGAATGAAGAAGAGGATAGGTATGGGTACTGATTAAGAATAGGCTACCTTGTTAATTGCACCCATGGCTTCAATCACTTCTTTTGTAAATGTTTTTCCGACTCCAGAAGTACCTATCAACACTGTCGGCTTGATAGCCTAAGTTCGGAAAGAGCACAGCAGTTGTTTAAAATAAAAACATGTGCTAAAATCAGTATTAAAGAAACTAAATGACACGAGCATATAGACAGCTTAAACCAGGAATTACTATAGATGAATATTTAACAAACCTTGACAGCGTCTAAGAGATTGTCAATAAGTTCATGTTCATGTGCCCAAGGCTTCTTGAAGGACTGAAGAGATGCTTTTCGAGAACTAACAATCAACCCCTGCAGACATATCACAAAGACCAACAAGCCCAAATTATTATTGGAAAATGAGACATCCCTGTTAGGGGGCGGTTGCTTGCCAGGTTTGAAATTTCAGTGACTGAGACTTTTGGAACCCAAACAAAGTAGTTTTAAGTTTTGTGTTAGGGCCTCAATATCCAAAATAGTCCTCCTCTACCTTTGAGTCCACAAGCCATATCCTTTTACGAGTTTCTTCAATAGGGGTTTCTGTCTGAGGATAAGATAGAGAAGTTAGTATCCACATGTCACAGACCAACAAGAGAAGATTTTTGTTTTTAGGACCTATGATCAGTGAGAATAACATGTCCGATACCTTCTTTGAAATCTCAAGAGCTATTAGCTCTGCGATACCAGTGCCAGCCTGCAAGCGCACACATGCATATACAATAATTCACATGGACAGTGTAAACGGAAAGATAAAATGGTGTATGTTGTTCTTTAATCTTATGCTTCTCACTGTCTTAAGATAAACTGCACCAAGATTTTTTGCAACAAACTTGAATACTTTCCTATCACTTATGCACAGAATAAACTAACTAATGAAACTTTTGGTTCTTAAGATTCCCACTTTTGATTCTCAACTTTAATAATGTGCTACTTTCAAACTGTCTACTTTTCTCTCAGATTGGTTGTGGAAATTAAATAATACTACGTATTACCTCTCCAGCACCAAGGAACAAAAACTTGTGCTCAGCTAAGGTACCCCCAAGTAGCTTAAGTGAGGCCACAAGCCCTGCAAGCACCACAGAAGCTGTCCCCTGCAAGGTAGAGAGGTCCAAATATTAAATCGAAGAAACAGCTTTTCTCAAGTCTAAACAAAAGCTACAACAAGAACAGGTTAATTGGTGAATTAAATATATAAACCTGTATATCATCATTGAAGACCAAATGAGTGGTTCCATATTTGGCCAGCAGCTCAAATGCATTGTGGTTTGCAAAATCTTCAAACTGAAAATGGCATTAAATCCCATCCACATTAACAAATGAAGCTGATTCTAAATATATATATATAGAGAGAGGAAAATTCTTGTCCGGAATTTCCTGACCGGACCCCCGTCCGGCGTCAGCCTTTTGTTGCAGTTCCCGGTGGTATTTTTTGCTCAAAATTTTTGTGTATGTTCCTCATCAAGTCTAGTTCATCCATACCAAATTTCAGCAAAAAATTCAATCGGGAAGGTCGTCAAATGATTTTTGCAAGTTAACTGGTCCGGAAAATACATATTCCGGACCAGTTGACTTGCAAAAATCATTTGACGACCTTCCCGGTTGAATTTTTTGCTGAAATTTGGTATGGATGAACTAGACTTGATGAGGAACATACACAAAAAATTTGAGGAAAAAATGCCACCGGGAAGGCCCCCAAAAGGAGGAGGCCGGACGGAGCTCCGGTCAGGAAATTCCTGACCGGAAGATTACTCTCTCTCTCTATATATATATATAAGAGCATTACTTTTGTCAAGTGAACACTGACCTGTACAAGAACCTTTTCACCATAGTTTTGCTTTACAGCAGTCATGAACTCGTCCAGAAAGTCATAGTATTCCTAAAGATTTAGTCAAAAGATCAATTCATAGTGACCAACTTAATGTCCTGCAAGTCATCAAGTTCTGCAATTCACCTGTCCAATTGCTCTCTTCTGTCTAAGCCCGATATAGAACTCATCCTTCAGCAACTGCTCATTGTTTGTCCCAACATCAATTGTTATAGGCAAACACTGTACAGACAACGGTACACCAATACATCTGGTCAGAACGTACTTTAGTTACAAAACAGTGCAAACAAATTCTACCAAGTTTTGGTACCGCTGAAGGCCTAACTCCACCAAGTGCTGTATAAAGAGCCAACTTCCCCACGGGTATTCCCATCCCCTGTAACAAGGAAACAGATGCAACAAGCTTACTAGTTACTACGATACAATATCTGGTCATAAGAAAATATGACTTTGATATAGAAATCACAGAAGAAAAATCCATTTCTAAGCCCTACCTGGCAGCCAAGGTCACCAAGTCCCAAAATTCGCTCACCATCGGTTACAACAATGACTTGGATTGTCCTCTCTGGCCAATTCTTCAATACCTCGAGAATCTTCCCCCTGCCCATAATAGAAATATTTTGTATAGGTTTTTGTGTGTGTGGGAAATATGGCTAGCTATTCGGCCACAGAGTACAATCATACTTTTCCTTCAAACTGATGTATAGACCCTGAGGACGCTTAAATATGCTTCCATATTTCTGGCAAGCCTCACCAACTGTTGGGGTGTAGACAATTGGTAGTAGCTCATCCACATGATCAATAAGAAGCTTGTAGAACAGTCTTTCATTCATCTCCTGTAAGAAACAATAAGCTGTTCAGAAAAGAATGATAACTACAGCATCCATGCTTACTTGGAAACGGTAAATTAGCAAGTCAATACGCATGTTTAGATAGAAAGAAAGAAAGAAAGCAAAGAAAAAAAATAACTAAATAACCTGTGTGGTTAAGGAAAACTTAAATCAAGGAGTCAATAAGCCATAATGAAAACAAAAATTAAGGAGATCAATGAGGAATACCTCAAGTTCCATCATAGCCATATACTTGTGTATGGGAAGATCATATTGGCGGATAGTTTGCATAAACTTCTTCTCCTGTGTATAAGAACACTAAGTGTGAAAAACAATGGTCATGAGCTGTGAGTTCAGATTAGACAATAGGAATAGCATGCCTGAAGCTCCTGGGAAGCAACTACAGGAGGAAGGAGACCTCGGAGGTAATGAGCATCTCTTTCGTTCTCCTTGAAAGCAAGGCCTTTGTTGAAACGAGGGTCTCTTAACAAATTGTAGCCACTGTTGCAAACAGTTGAAAAGAAAGAAAGGAGAATCGATGTCAATGGATACAAGATACATCAAAGATTAAAAACAATTGCGGTAAGAGTAGTGTGGCATGTGGGGGGTCTTATCCCAGATGATTGCGGGCATGGGCGGAGCTAGGGGAGGACCATCCCTGGCCCAGCCCAAATTTTAAAAATGCTTGTATTTTTAGTGTAAAAAATTCCGTGTAAAAAAAATTCCAAAAATATTCTTTGTACCGGCCCAGTCCGGCCCAGTGCCCTAGCTCCGCCCCTGAATTTGCGGGAGATGGAGTAAGGACTCGGCAGGATTTTGAATGGGACAGTGGGACCGATGCAGCAGGTGGGGAAACCAGGGCACTCAACAACAGCCTTAGTCATGTATAGAGCAGTGGTTCTAACCAAGTTATTCTTGAATGTGACTCCACCTATGAGGTTGAGTAAGTGAAAGGTAGAGTAACATCTAGAGGCTCTCTGCAGGAGCCTATGGGGGCTTGTAAACAGTTGCTCAATGGGCAATGGAAGATGGAAGAGAACCATGTGTTTCACGAGCAAAACGAGACAGGTGATCTACTCGTGCAGTTAGCCTTGTTGAAATTGGAAAAGTATTATATGTATTACGATATAAAATGAGGATAAGTCAAGCTCACCCGACTACAAAAACATTACGTACAACTCTCTCTAAAGTTTTCAAAATTTTACCCCTCTTGGTCTACACTTGGTGAAATATATACGCATCAATATGCTAGAAACTATAGAGAAGGCAAGCTATATTTAATATTTCACCCAGCCATGTTCAAAGTTAGCAACTCACTATAGTTGTTTCAATTCCCAATACATGAATCATTGAGAGATCCTTTCCCATGGTTGAGCATAGACTAATCTTGAGGAAATGTTACGTGACACTGTTGCAATGGAGGCTTGAGCTCTTTGAGAAGCCAAGCCGCGGCACAAGTCAGGGGATGGATATATACACCATACATATAACACCTACCTCCTCCTAGACAGTGATATTTCTTTCTTTTCCTTTCCCTTGTGCCAGAACAATATTGAAAAATCAAAGATGGCGATCGGAAAAATTAACTTCAGCTAAATACTTAAAAGACCATCAAAAATCAAATCAAGCAAGCATGCACAAATCACAATAAAAAGAAGGGAAAAAACGATTGGCAAATTTAAATGCAAACAGATGAGAGGAAGCAGAATAAGAAGGGGGTGATGGTTGGATGGGTGTACAGTTTTACCTGGCAACAGAAGTCGTCCAGGGAGTAAGGAGCTGATCCTCGGTGGCGCGATCCTCGCCGTATACGTCTTCCACGCCGCCTCCGGGCGTAGATCGCGGCGACATGTCCAGCACCGTTTCTCCCCCTCTCTTCTCCTTCAGTAGACTCTCCATGCTCTCTAGCTAGTCGGCGTGAACGGTGATTGATTGGGTCTGGTTATTTACTATTGATCGATCATGCAGTGTTCTTCTTTATACAGCTACCACTAATAATGGCGTATAGAGTGCAATCTACTCGAATTGTACAGACCGGCGACGACTTTGCAAGCAAAAGTCAATGCATTCCCGCGTCGTCAGCAACACACGCCTAATCAACGACTCTCTCTCTCTCTTTATATTGTTCAACGCCCTTAAAAAGATTTGGTATACCGTGGGAGCATTACTGTTCATGCGGTGAACAGTAAATAAGTCTAAAATTGTCAAAATAGGACCAAAGTTTACAAATTCCCCAAATAAGAGTTATTATTTGAAATTAGACAAAAATACCCCTGAAATTGGAAGCCATACTCCCGCAGACCACGACACTAGACCACAGCCATTTGACGGTCGCCGCCGGTCACCGGACATCGCCGACAACCTCAAAAATTGGCCGCCGTTGCAGATATGCCCACCTCCGTTGCATATCTGGCGAGCGTCGCCGGAGATCTGGCCAGATCTAGCCTCCGCCGGCCGTCGACCGCAGCCCCTGTAGATCCAGCAACCATCCTTTCTGATCCAGCATCTGCCGTTGCTAATATGACCCCCTCAGTTATAGATCTGGCCGTTACCAGCTTGAATGCCAAGTTTATTACCTGTGTGCCATCTTAATGGCATTTCAAAGGCAAATACAAAATATTTGAAGACTAAAAATGCCATTATAATGGCATTTTTCAGAGTTTAACTTGGCATTCTGTAAAAATCCAAGAAGAATTGGAGCATGGGGAAGAGAAAACTAGAGAAGAGCGGGAGAACCATCAGAGGAGAGAAGCCGACCTACGGAGAATAGAATTCGGTCTCCAGCAGCGGCGGCGGCAGTGGACTTCGCGATGGCGGCGGCGGCGGACCTCGATACAGCGGCGGCTATGGGGTTTGGCTGAGCTTCTAGGTTTTTATTCGTGTGCAAAGGGCAAGGAGAGAAGATTTACATGGGAAGGAGAAGAATGAATGATACGCATGGATGAGGAGGAGGAGAGAAAAGTTATGCGCAGGTAGGGCATCAGATGATGTGCCGCAGGGAGATTAAAAGGAATAGGGGTATATAAGTAATTCAGTCTTATTTAGGGAATAAAAATATACATAATCCTATTTAGGAATTTTAGGAATAATTTAGTCCTATTTGGGACAATAATTTAATTGTTTTTTCATTGTATAGTAACTTACTGATGTAACTCGTGTATACAATAATGTAACTCTCATTAATAAGAAATATAACTGCATGCAAGTCGAAATGTAACTTGTTTAATACAGATTATAAGAAATAAAACATTGATTTTAATGAAACAAAGAGTCTAATTACTCAATTACTTAACGTAAATATTGGATATGTTTTGTTTTTAATATTAATACCGTAAATAATTATTTTTATTTAAAATCACAATTGTTTTGGCCAAAAATCATTTTTTCGCAAAAAAAAAAAACATTTTTCTTTTGCAAAAAGTTTTTTTTTGTTTGTTTCAATAGCAGGAGTTTACTTAAATAGTGAATATGATGTGTTTTTATTATTAAGGTCATAAAAATATTTTTTTTTAAATCACTTTTTTTTTTGTCAAAGCAATCATTTTTTGCCAAAAAAAATCTTTGGAAAAAATAACGATTCTTTTGTTTCAATAGTAGGGCTTTATGTTGTGATGGAAAATTTAACTCGCGTTGAAGAAAAATTTACCTTAGGTGTGTACAAAATGTAACTTGTTAAGACATGTCTAAATGCAACTCGCGCGTATGAAGATATAACTCACACATAAAAAAGATGTAACTCGAGTATATGAAGATGTAACTCCATATACTATCAAAGCTAATTAATGAAGACAATGAGTCTAATTGCTCAAATTAATTTGCGTAAATAATTAATATGTTTTGTTGTTAGTATTAAGGCCATAAAATGTTTCAAAGAAAAATAATTTTTTTAACCAAAAAATCAGTTTTTTTTGACAAAAATCATTTTTTGTTTCAATAGTTGGAGTTTATTTTGTGATGTAACTCGCGTTATGCAAAAATGTAACTCGGGTTGATAAAGAATCTAACTTAGGTGTATGAAAAATGTAACATGTTGAAGCAAATCCAAATGTAACGCTCGCATAGGAAGATGTAACTCACATATAATAAGATGTAACTCACGAATAAGAAGATGTAACTCGCGCATAAGAAGATGTAACTTGTGTATAAGAAGATGTAACTCTATATAATATCAAATGTAACTCTAAGAATCATTTATACATGTAATATCATAATTTATCAAATGTAAATCGATAAAGTGAATTAATATGAAATATAATTTATCAAATACAGAGAAGTGTATGAATACAAAAAATATATTTTAGGAAAAAAGTTTATGAATATGAAAAATTATATTAAAAAATGTATGAATATAAAATATATTATAGAAAATAAATAGTGTATGAATATGAATGCAATGTACTTATTTTATTTACATTCATAATTTTTTAAAAAATATAAATTATTTGTTACGAAATGGTAAAGAATACAAAATAGATTAATTGTTATTTAAGGTGAAGATAAAGAAAAATAAAAATATAATTAAAACTTTAATATTTTGTTAGAGAAGGAGACAAAAATGAAAATAAGAAAAATAAAGAAAAATTCTTTTTTAATAATTAAATATGGTTACTGGGAATTGAGAAGGATGACAATTCATTTACCAAGTAATGGGAAGCATGAGAATTAATTGCAAAGAGAAAGATAAGAGTTATGCCACTAGTGCTTTGGGAGAAAAATGAAGAGTTACGAAACGGGGAAAAGTGGGATCGGTACACCGTGCACACGGTGTAACGATCCCACGGTATAATTTGCCCCCTTAGAACATCTCCATTCATGATACTCAAGTTTACGGTTTTTTATGGCTTCTTATTGCCATGTCACTTCCACATAAGATTATCTCAAATAATCTCCAAACCTATCAATTCTTCTCATCCATGATCTTAATTTACCTATATTTATGAGACATGCACTCAATTTCAAAATCTCTACAAAGCTAATCATCACCTTAATTATGAGTATATGCCTAGAAAATGGAGAGAGGAGTCTAAAAGTTGGAAATAATCTCAAAATAATCCAGCTTTAGAATTTGATACCAGATTATTTTATCGAATAATCTCATAAAATAATCTCAACTCCTCATCCATGATCCCAAAAAAAAATCCTCCACATCATCAAAATGATCCCAAAAATGATCTATGGATGAGGATGCCCTTAAAATAATTTTTTCACTGGGCAAATCCGATCATTAAATTAAATAAATCGAGTCATATATTTTAAAATGGTGACAACTCCGGTACCCATTTAAAAATGGGGTACCGAACCTACATGCATTTGATTGGTCCAAATCATTCAATCCCTTTTAATTTAGATTTGGGAAAACTGTCAAATAGGCCCCCCTACTAATACAGAAAAGTCAATTAAGCCCCTGAACTCAAAAAACACTCAATTAAGCACACGAACTATAAAAAACGAGGCAAAACAGTCCTTTTAGCAGGTAATTAAGCAGTTAAAAAGAGATAAGGAAAAAAGGAAAGAAAGAGAAAAAGAGAAAAAGAAAATGTAAAAGCATGCCACATCATTTGCCACACATGCAACTTAACTGAGAACGGTTAATATCCTGCTAAAAGGACTGTTTGCCTCGTTATATTTAGTTCGGGGGCTTAATTGACGTTTTCGTATTAGTAGGGGGGCCTATTTGACACTTTTCCCTTTAGATTTAAATAATTCAACGGCATGATTTTGATTGGTCCATGTGGACAAAAGTACGGTACCTTATGGGTACCATAGATAAATACTAAAACAAATTTACCTGTTAATAATACCAAGTTATTTCGTAATTTGATAAAATTATTATATAAATGAGGTCATAAGTAAGTTTTATACTCCCTCTGTCCCTCTTATATTGTCCTATTTTACCTTTTCGGGAAGTCCCACTAAAATTGTCCCATAGCATATTTGATAAAGTTTGTGTGACTCTAAATCATTCTTACTTTATTCTTACTTTATTAATTGATATCAACCACACAAACTCACTTTTCTTAAAAATCGTGTCACCCTTTTCCGTCCCAATATAAAAGGGACGGAGGTAGTATATCATTTTAGTGTAAATGAGATGAATATTTTGAATAGTAAATATTAAACGTTTGATTACATATTTCAATGTTATTATATATTTTTTAATCCAAACAAAATTTACTTTTATGATAGTATTTTTATAATAATAAATTAACATGTTTCAATGTTATTATACACCGCTGATAATCTTCTAGAAAATATCTTTAAACTCTTTTACAAACGTTAAATCTCTTTTAAAACCATTCTCTACCAAAATATCTATTAACTTTGAATCAAGATTCAAAAACATCTCAATTTCTTCGACCATTGCCAATGGCAATTTGCCATAGATGTGAACTTAGCGTGCTCAATGCTCATGATGACTGATGAGTATGGTCGAAAAAATACGCTACAAAGTATATTTGGCGGCTGATATCATGTAGAAAATAATAATAATAATAATAATAATAATAATAATAATAATAATAATAATAATAATAATAATAATAATAATAATAATAATAATAATAATAATAATAATAATAATAATAATAATAATAATAATAATAATAATAATAATAATAATAATAATAATAATAATAATAATAATAATAATAATAATAATAATAATAATAATAATAATAATAATAATAATAATAATAATAATAATAATAATAATAATAATAATAATAATAATAATAATAATAATAATAATAATAATAATAATAATAATAATAATAATAATAATAATAATAATAATAATAATAATAATAATAATAATAATAATAATAATAATAATAATAATAATAATAATAATAATAATAATAATAATAATAATAATAATAATAATAATAATAATAATAATAATAATAATAATAATAATAATAATAATAATAATAATAATAATAATAATAATAATAATAATAATAATAATAATAATAATAATAATAATAATAATAATAATAATAATAATAATAATAATAATAATAATAATAATAATAATAATAATAATAATAATAATAATAATAATAATAATAATAATAATAATAATAATAATAATAATAATAATAATAATAATAATAATAATAATAATAATAATAATAATAATAATAATAATAATAATAATAATAATAATAATAATAATAATAATAATAATAATAATAATAATAATAATAATAATAATAATAATAATAATAATAATAATAATAATAATAATAATAATAATAATAATAATAATAATAATAATAATAATAATAATAATAATAATAATAATAATAATAATAATAATAATAATAATAATAATAATAATAATAATAATAATAGTGCTTAATAATGATAATTATTTCTCACACTTTTATTTTTATTATTGAGGTGAATTACAAATTACATAATTAACTATAAATATCCTACCATTTAATACAAGCTCATGAACCATGATACCCATCCAAAACAAATTGAAGCTTTGGTATCAAATGGTTACAAAATCTAAAGAATTTGTAGCACAAAGTGTAACATATGTCATGATAAATTGATATTTACTTTGCTAATTCTGACATATTATCCGTCTATGATACATTTGAAGGGATATGCACATAAACATACATACAGGCACATATATCTTTTCTTTATTCTATACTCGCATGTGTAAGATCTTCTGCAGCATGGCAGGAGAAATGACCATGGCTTTCCCATTTTTATTATTACTATTCTCCTTCGCCTGAAGCTCGGCATGAAGTCTACAAAGAGCAGATCCGGCCACTTTCCAGGTGAAGCCACATTTTCTTACATCTGACACGGCTTTTGCGTGATCATAACAAACATGGTAAATAGCAAGCGCATTGTCATATATCTCTCTCATATTCATCCTGCTTTCCTCCAACTCATCAGCGCCGTATAATAACTGCATCATTACAAGAGATGATTTACCCATTTCTAGTGACTATAAAAGGCTATGTTTACAACCCTGAAAATTGTAGAAGTACATGAATAAAATAAGTTTGATCATATATTACATAATGAGTCTTTTTAGTAGACAAAGAAATTATATTGCTCAAAAAACTCCCTTCTAGAGATCCCTTTTCTACTTTGTTTCTTATTTCCTGTCCCTAGTGGTTTCCAGATTTCATTGGGATCCGAACAGAATGACTCTTTGAAGCATTTAAAATGGCTAAAGGGTCAAATTGGTACATGAACTAACTTAAAGTGTTCAATTAGCCCCTTATATAGGAGGTTCTGCTCGGCCGTCGCCAATTGGGGCGTTTCCCGGTGGAATTTTTTGATGAATTTTTTTGAGCATCTTCTTCATTAAGTCTAGTTTATCCATACCAAATTTCAGCTAAAAATTCAACCGGGAAGGCAGTCAAATGATTTTTGAAGATAACTGCGCAGGTAAACAACATAGTACATTTTGGAAAATCATTTGACTTCCTTCCCGATTTAATTTTTAGCTGAAATTTGATATGAGTAAACTAGACTTAATGAAGATGCTCAAAAATTTTGATTAAAAAATTCCACCGGGAACCGCCCCAATTGGCGACGGCCGGGCAGAACCTCCTATATAAGGGGCTAATTGAACACTTTAAGTTAGTTCATGTACCTATTTGACCCTTTAGCCCATTTAAAATTGAAAAAAAAAACTCACTTGCTTGTATTTCTTGATGACTTCATTTGCTAAGTCATTCTTGGATTCACCACATGAGCTCAGTGCCTCCGCCATATCAGCTCTGTACTCGTTGTACCTCTTCCTCCATACCCTCATACATTCATCAGGTACCTTGATGCTAAAGCAAGCTATTTTCTCAATTTCTGGACAGTTGACACCGTTAATTAATACAAACTGCATTAGGGCATTCCTATCTGTTAAGCGTTGCAACTTCATCTGTGATTTAGATTATCACTTACCAACAAACGGTGTCGTTTTGGTTTCATATGCCACAACAGTGTCATAAATTTCTCCCAGGACAGATTTTGAGTGATAAGAATCACGTTCTTTTGCCATGAAATGTGGTAACTTATCCACCTTCAGATCTTTGGGAATATTGACCTATATATTTCAAGATTACAAAAGCTTATTAAAAGCTATGTTACCAGACCCAAACCGGCCTGGCTGAGCCGGAAACCGCGGCCCATTGGGAATACCGGGCCGGTTATGGATAAACAGCAAATATGCCCAAACCCGGCTAAACCTGATAACCCATGTAACCCGCCCAGTCCATTGCTTAAAAAATATATTACACGAGGGGATCGAACCCACATCCCTCACTAAGCTATCTATATGTGCTGCCAATGCTTTGCAATGTCAGTTATTTTAATGGATATATAACGTTACTTTATAATAATTTATTTTTAGTTGTTAAACTTTTATTATTAATAACTGATATTATTAATCATCATCACAATAACAATACTTATTATTGATTATTGATACTATACGTAGTACTTTCCAATTATGTCACCAACTCTACATCATTTCAAATATAATTGAAAGCTGCTTATATAATTTAAATGGAGTTTATAATAACCGTCATTCATACATATTGTTTATACAAACTTAAAATGAATTATGATTTTTGTTAATAGTTATATATTTTAGAACAATATTACTATTTTCTGTACTTCTTATGTATTATCACTAATTAATTATAAAAAATAATATGTTTTAACTTTATAATCATAATACAGAGTATAATATATAATTATGCATATTTCATATTTTATTTATAACAAAGGTTGACTGGGTTCTTTGCCAGATGACCAGGCTGACCCTCGGCCCGTTTTTTGTCCGGGTCGCCCTCCGGTCCGGTTATGATAACATAAAATGGTTGAAACACAGGGGCCATTTACTATATGGATTCTCTGTTTTTCTGGAAAACGGAATACTTCAAAACATGTTTGCTTTGTTGTTTTCCAAAATTAGAAACACAGAAACATGTTCTTAATATCTCCAAAGTTGGAGAACTCGTTTGAGTCGCTCTCCGAGAAATAAAACCCTCTATACAACATGTTCTTATCAAGACCGGAAAATCAGAACCAAACCAGTTACATGCTGGTCCAGTCCGGTCGTCGATTCAACTTTTGAGGATTACGGTTCTAGTGATGTCCAATCCCGAAATACCGGTCGTGTAAGCTCAATTCAGTCCCTGAACTAAAAATAGGTCCAATTCACACCCCGAACCGGCAAAAAAGGGTTCAAAATTCATTTTTTATGGTTAAACAACCGGTAAAAAAAGTCCAATTCGCACCCCTAAACTATTAAAAAAGTGTCAAATTGCAACAAATCGAAAATAAAAACCAGAAACAATAAAAAAAATAAAAAAATGCCCGGTTGTTTACCCGTAAAAAATGAAAATTGAACCATTTTTGTCGGTTCGGGGTGTGAATTGAACCTTTTTTTAGTTCAGACTTCAGAGACTGAATTAGGCTTACACGACAGGTACAGGGGCCTATTTGACCCTTTAGCCTCTAAAATATAATAGTACTACGTATTTGATAAGTATTAAGAATTGATTCAGATTTAATTAAATTTTTAAACAGGCAAAATTTTTATGTTAGACAAAGATTAATAGTCAGTAAAATCACAACAACAAAAACATTACGCCAGTGCCACAAAGACTCCCACCTATGATAGGGTAAGGGGGTCGGATGTACGCAACCTTACCCCCATACTAAAGCACATAGACAGTTTATAGATGCCGCTTAATGAAAATCGCGTCGAAAATTGCATGGACTACTGTTGTTTCATAACAGAGAAACACATACAGTTTAGTGAGCCATTTTGTTTTATTCCATCATATTCTCAAGTCAAAGTATATTAAGTATTTGGCTCCATAAAAAATGATGGGAAAATAGTCAGAAAAGTAAAAAATATAAAATTGGAGAGTTTTTTATATGGAACTTTCAAATCCGGTCCAAATTCGGTCTAGTCCGACCATTTGAAACTCCAACCCAATTCTGGACCGGGGATATACATGTTTGGTCTTTCGTCCACATTGAAAAACTAAATTATTATTAGTTTATAATGATAAACTAATAATAATAGTAATAATAATAAAATCGTAATAATAGTAGCAATTATAAATATTGTTGTTGTTATTATATACTCCCTCCGTCCCAATTTGTAAGATACATTTCGGTTTACGATGTTTGACTGACGAAAAAGCAAATTGATCCCTGTCAACACCCAAATTAGTTCTAGAAAATAAAATTTACATATTCAAAAACTACATTAAATCCGCTACAAAACCTACAAAAAATAATTCAAACTTCATAAACTTTTGATATATAAAATAAAAGTTTAGAAGTGATTTATGTTGACCAAGTGAATAGTAAATGTATCTTACAATTTGGGACTGAGGGAGTAATATATTATATAATAGCGTAAGAAATCAATAATAAAAGTGATAATAATAATAACAATCATAATAATATAATAATAACACTAAAGTAGTATGATAATAGCAATCTAATAATAGCAATAATAATTATTAATCAAGAATGTCTAAATTATTATATTATAGAACAAAGTTATAAATTATACCAATACTACTACTATTTGAGTTGTCCTGATATATTTATTTAAATTTGTGATCTTGGGGAACATTTGTCTATTTTTTGTCTTTGGTTTTCACTAGGTCTCAAGACCCTAAATGGTATATTTAGAATCAAACGGCTTCAACTTATTTTGAATATCTAATTTATTATTTAGAAATGCAGATGGTTGAAAAAGCATAAGAAATGGGTTTTCTGATTTGGAACACGGAAAACTATAAAATGGAAATAGAAGAAAACGAAGAACGGAAAATTGAAGAAATAGGTAAACGGGCCCTGATGTTATTCTACAATTGTACTCGGATTGATTTGAGGGAAAGGATAGGGACATGGACCTCCAATAAGAATAATAATAATAATAATAGAATTACACCAAGGAGGGTGATATTGTATAAATAAGGGTTTGGGCTAGGTACTAGTTAGCTTGGGCCGGCCCAACAGGGAATTTATTATAAATAGGAGTGGGAGTCGAGTAAGAGGGGGGGAAATTAGTTCAGTCTGGGACTTGGGAGTGCGGAAGACTACTCGAAGTGTCTTCATCTGTATCGTTTCCTTTCAGTTTCTACCATTTCAGTTTTAATACTAAATAATTCATCGCCAGTTTTCTGTGTACCTATCATTGGTATCAGAGCAGTCGACCCGGGGAAGCTTCGATCAACAGTCACGCGATAAAAAAAAATTGAACACAGGGAACATCGGTGGTCAGAGAGGAAGGTGGCCGCCTCTGCTTTGCGCGCGGACATAGAGAAGCGCGAGATGCGCGTGTCTGCGAAAAAGGGGAAGGAACCACATCGAAGATCCGATCAGGGCGTGCTTCGCGCGGAAAAGAGGAGAAGCCGTCGGAAAAGGTTGAAAGTGATTGGGCTAAGGAGATGCGCCATATGTTGGGCAAAATTCGTCACAGACTCAAGCGACATAGAGACCGAGCGAGGAGTCCTCCTAGACACCGTCGGCATTCTGGAAACCAGGACTCATCGTCGTCGCCTGTCAGTTCACAGACTTCATCGCAAACAGCTTCGCCTAGTTCGCTGTCGCGAACGGCTATTCCTTAGTCCCACTCGCGAACAGACTCGATAATTTTTTTTATCCCGTGACTGGCGATGTATAGGGACATGGACCTCCAATAAGAATAATAATAATAATAGAATTACACTAAGGAGGGTGATATTGTATAAATAAGGGTTTGGGCTAGGTACTAGTTAGCTTGGGCCGGCCCAACAGGGAATTTATTATAAATAGGAGTGGGAGTCGAGTAAGAGGGGGGGAAATTAGTTCAGTCTGGGACTTGGGAGTGCGGAAGACTACTCGAAGTGTCTTCATCTGTATCGTTTCCTTTCAGTTTCTACCATTTCAGTTTTAATACTAAATAATTCATCGCCAGTTTTCTGTGTACCTATCAGGAAACAAGACGTTGAAGGGAAAACTGAAAAAGTTGTTCTATGTGTATTAAAAGTACAAAAAAAAAATCAAGTTACTTCACGAAAACGACATCTTTTCCACAAAAGTTCAAGGAAATATTTTCAAAGGCCAAACACGGGAAAACCATGCACATATACTTTACAAAAAAATTATATATTTTCATGGAAACAAATAAAGCATAAATCTAGAAACATACCTTTTTACCATTTTTGGGTGCATCTAAAGAATCGTAGTAAAGATCTATCAAATGTAACATTTTTTCTATTATGGCTTCCTTCTCAGTAGCATAGCTATCACCAAGTACCAGAAGTCTGTCCATATGAGCCATCCAGCTGTCAGAAGCGGCAGACATACTATAACTGGACCAAGACAAGGTGATATTTGTTAATAAATTGTCCTAAATAAGAGTAACATTTTTAGATTCCAAAATAGGACTACTATGTCTTTATTCCCTAAATAGGAGTAATTATTGTCAAGTTTTGGCATTATCCGGCTTTAAACATGACAGTATATTCCAAGCATGGCAATAATTACTCTTATTTAGAGAATTTTCCCTAATTGTATATACAAAAGAAAGTTATGGGCCAAGCACATTGTGGTTCGATGGCATCAATTTGACACTCCCAAGGAGGAGGTCACGGGTTCGATATTCATCTCAATCAAGGATGTTGGCATTTCACAATGAAGTATTGAACAGATACTATATAGAGAGGCTACAAAGTCTAGCCAAAAAAAATATATGGCTCTACTGATTGCACTGCAAATGACAAGTCCTATCTCATTATAAGATGCATGTGTACAACTCTTCTGATATGGATCAGTATGTTTTTTTGGGCATGAATTACAGTTTAACTAATTTTAAAAAATTAAATTACATTACCAAACCATAATTGGAATTAAGGTGATGATGATAACTTGATAAGACATTCATACAAGCCTAATACGAGATTTTGTATTTGATTTAGATTTTAGACCCATTTGCATCCATCAGCTTTTTTACCAGAAGGAAGGTTAGTGATGGTTCATGACAATGATGATGCGCAGAATGACATAACGAAAAAAAGACAAGTAATTGGAGGCCTTATACTGAAGCTACACGACTAGACGGACTTGAAGATCAATATTATATGAGAGAACTACAAACATGTATGAATGTCCTAATGCACTCTGTTATTAAGATGTTAAGGTAATATTAAAAAAAATACCTTGGCATTCTTGTTTCCAGAAACATCTCAAAGAGTTTGAGCTCTAATTCTTTTGTAGAAAGCTCACTCGGCTTCCTACTAACTGGATTGGGAGTAGAATAAATACGTTTCCACGGGCTACTTGTACTGAATTTTTCAATTAGCTGAATAGAAAAGTGAAAAAGCTTCAATTTCAAAGAAAAAATATTGCATTATCTTATTAACATTATTGAAACTTTGTGGAGAAGTAAATAAACAAACCGTTTTTGCAACTAAAACATATGAGCCTTAACCATGTAGAATTCCTCTCCAACTCAGCTATTAACGTCTTTTGATATCAAATTTTAAGAAGTGGTCATTCCATTACAAGGCAAATGCATGATAGAAACACTCGTGATTACATAAGTTGCAATAGAGAACAAACTGGAAAAGAAGGGATACCTGCACCTTTATTGTTTAGTTGAATTGCTAGAGCCTTACCAACTATTCCAAACACCTCTATTTTTCATGCAGATAATTAGAAGTATTGATGCAAATAGGAGTCAAACATGTCTGATGTATACAAATAAGTCAATCATTGTTCTTTACCAAAAATACTAAAATAGGATTCGTTCAGTCCTAAAGAAGGAATACAACTAAGTAATATGTCTTTTATTAGGATTGAACAACACCAAACAACAACATCCAAGTCGTAGTCCCAAAAGAATTTGGGATCGGCTAAGTGGCTAACATGAATCGATATGAACAAGTCAAGTTTCTAGAAGACGAAAAAACAATGATGATCCGATATGAAAAAATGCGTGAGTGTGTGACATTTTAATCCTATTTAAGGAAATTTCTTTAATAACAATCAATAGTTGCCTCTGCCAACAATGAAAATTAAACAAGAATATGTATACCTCACGGTTCCTAGAGACCCAGTATACATCTCCATCAAAATCGCCATTAGCAATTTCATTTGCAACAGATCTTTCACCTTTTATGGAGAAGAATATTCCATACTTAGCATTTCCAACTATCTCATCAAGTTCCTTTATGTGGACTGCATTTAACTTGTGGATGTCTCCGAAATGAAGCCCGGGATTTCTGTAGACTAAGACTTCCCCAACAATTTGGCCATGATCACTGGTGAAACATTGGAAATTTGGAAATGGAAATTATGTTATTGGACAATGTAATATTTTTGTCTAAATTCACAGGTGGGATGCAATTATTAGATGTTGAACGGTTATTTATCTTTTCCACATCCAATAATTATACGACACCTATGAATGCAGGCAAAGAATGTAAGAAATGAATGTAAAAATATCCATTATTGTAAAATTGATTTCAAATATAACTACTCATTCAAATATTGCTCCAATTTTCTTCACAAGATTTAGGGAATTGAAATTCAAGTTCAAGTACATGATAATCTCCTCAAAATGAACATACTGCAAATCATAACAGTAACAGCCAAAAAAATAAATTGGAAATTGCTCTAAATAAGAGTACTATGTTTTTTCTCCTAAACAGGAGTGATTACTGTCATGTTTGGAAAATATTATCAATTATAGCATTAGTATTGTCATATTAATAATGTATGGTATTGTCAAAACATGACAATATGATTTCAGGATGACAGAAATTTGCTCTTATTTAGGAGGAAAAAATATAGTACTCATAATTCGGAATTTTACATTATTTTTACTCCTACTTTGGGAAACTTTCAAAATAAATTGTTATAAGGATAAGAACTTGGTGAGCATAAGGATACCAGTCTACCACCCTACAAATTTGAAAGCTATCATTAGAGAAACTACTCTTCTCAGATTGACCATTTATGATGTAACTTCAAATCTTAATATGATATTAGAGGGAATTGAGCTCTAATGAACAATTAAATCTTGATAAACCTCAACAACAAGCACACGAACTTTAAGACGGGTCTGCACGACTGGTCTTAAGAGTCATCATCTTGTGGAGCATGTTAGGTTATCTCATACCAGCCATGTATCAAGATACAAAGAAACATTTCTAAAGTCTCAGCTACTCCTCTTATCAAGAATAAGACTTAACAACCTCCGTGTCGACATTCTCATCTCTGCCTGTTTATATTGTATGTATTCGTTAATACTTCACGGATCAACCATCAACACTATGAGCCAGACAACATAGCAGACCTATTAGACATTCTATACTTCATTTTAAGCTTAAGCCATTCTCACTAAATATCATTAAATAAATGAACAGGTTTACTTACAGAATAACGCAGACTTCATCACGATTTAGCGTCTCTGTGGGATCAGCGGTCCCTATCAAATAAAAGCTGTCAGAAATTGGAAGTTTTCCCCCTCTAAGCCCACTTTTTTCTTCCTTTGTCACCACAGATAGACAGCATTGAAGATGTGGCTCAGAAAGTGGCACTCCCGATAAAATCATACTTTTTGCAATGGAACCATAATCAAGATCTTCATAGTTTGACGTAGCTACAAGTAAATGAAATGATAATACATTATTGAGATGTTTTACTTTTGTGATGACAAACAAAAGTTCGAGAACTTAAAAAGCTTAAGCTATCATAACAAGCTTCGGTGAGGGGAATGAAGTGAATAAATCGAACTGCAAGGTTCAATTGACGTATGTGCATACTAATTTTTTTTAGTTGTTTCATGGTATTGATATAAAAAAAAATGTTTGCATAAATAAAATACATTAAATGATTTGTTAATTTTGTCATTTATTATGCCATGGACTGCTCAATATGCATATTATAAGGTACTCTGCAATATTAATTGGTTGACATGAGCTTTTTATTTGGTACGTTATAGCAATTCTAAGAAGTTCAAACTCCAAATAACCTTTCAGTGCCAAGATCTCATCAGAATATATGTTTTCTGCCTCTTCCAATGCATTCTTCAGTATTTCCAAGAAATATTCCCGAGGAACACCTCCGTAGCACAATAGAGCAATCAATGTTTTTGAAAGATGTGCTTTCTTTGGTTTATGACTGGAAATTGGAAAATGAAACAAAGTGTCACGTCCACACAGATCCACGGAAATAGCTCGCTCTCAGGCGAGAACAAAGAGAAAATGATAACAGGAAAGTGAACAGCACAAGTCATTGCAAAGCTCACCGCTTAATGAAATTGGCATGATGTTATAAGGTTGAAGTCATTCTACAGACACATGTATACACATCGTCTATATTATATTTTTAACTACATTGTATAGCTATTATAACAGTAATGTGTGTGCCATATTTCATAAGATTAAATGAATTGTGTAAAATTTGAGTAATTCAATGATGGTGATCTATGGTGCTAGATAAACATATATTCCTGATTTAGAAATTGTTAGTAATTTCCTACATTGTTCATTATGGCTCATTTCTTTCCTGAAGAAGAAATAGCATAAGAACTGTGGAAACCTTAGTAGTATTGGGCTTAGCCCATTTGTATAGGAAACCCTAGTACTCTAAATTTAGCTATAAATATAGCTTCTTGTATAGTATTTTTATCAAGTATATGAAATAAAACAATACTTGTTCACATGGTATCAGATCCATATATGTCTTTAGTTATAGTATTCTTAATTTCCGACGAGAAAGTCCGCCGTGAACGGTAGGAGCGTTTGGTGTTTGAGCAATTTTCGGTAGTGATATATCAAACCACACCTACCGCCATCCTCAGTACACCATCGCAACCTAACGTCTGAAACTACACCTCCGATGCACCTTCCACGCACTGCCACGCGCCGCCGCCGACTGTCAGTGCCTTTACCTTTCTTTGCAGATCTCTCTTTTTCTACTCATCTTGAGCTCACACAGACGACACACTGAAGATCTGTGACTCCCGGCGACCAAAACAACATAAACCAGACACTCATCGGACAACCCACGCGCCGCCGCCGATCTCACGCGCCGCTCGTATCGGTCGTCGCCGTCTCTCTGGCCGCTCGACACTGCTTTGGCCGCTCGCCGGTGCTCTCTTGTTTGCTCTCTGGTCTGCTCTCTTGGTCAACACAGTCTAGCAGTCCAGCGGAGGTCTTTGTCAACCCACTCCAGCTGGATTACTTTTGTTTTTCTATTATTGGCAAACTGCTGCCCTGAGTTCTACTGAAGTGTTGATCCCCTCAGCAGGTTTTATTTTTTTTAATTTCTCATTTGTTTGCTAATTTTAGCTTTTCATTCTTCTTTAAAAAAAGCAAAAAAAAAAACAATACAAAAAAAAGTCCTTTATGAGTTCTGACAGAGGAAACAACACCGGATACTCAAGATGGAATCATCCTAAATGTGATTTTTGCCATAAAATTGGTCATACTAAAGACAGGTGTTCGAAATTACATGGGAGACCTCCTCCCTCAGCCCATGTTGCTCAGCTCCCACCATCTCCCATTGTTCTATCACCGGAAGAATATGCAGCATATCAGCAATTTAAGGTGACTAATATGTCTTCATTCACACCCGATGTGTCTACCGCTTGTGTTTCAAACACAACAGGCTCATGGATCATTGACTCAGGTACCTCAGATCATATTTCTGGTAATCCCCATCTTTTATCCCATATTACCAAGCAGCGACATCATTCCTTTGATTACTCTTGCTAATGGCCTTCAAACTTCGGCTTCAGGTATTGGGCAAACACTTCCATTTTCATCCTTACCGTTAGAATTAGTCTTATATGTCCCTAACACCCCTTTTAACCTTGTCTCTGTCAGTAAAATTACACGTGTTCTTAATTGTTCTGTAACATTTTCCGCTGATTCTGTGATTGTGCAGGACCGTTGTACGGGGAAAACGATTGGCGTCGGACATGAATCTCAAGGTCTGTATCACCTCCATCCTCTTGATCCAATCGCTTGTGTTTCAGTTGAACCTGCTATTACCTTACACAACCGTCAGGGTCATCCTAGTCTCTCAAAGTTTCAACGTATGGTTCCAGGTTTCTCAAATCTTTCATCTTTAGATTGTGAGTAATAGAAATTGAACTCAGATAGAAGAACGAAGAATGAAATCTTATTGATTGAAAGAGTCAGTACAAGTATTTATAGTTGAGTACATGTAACAAACTCTAACAGATACGCAACAGAACTAACAGCCCAAAGTAGACCTGAATAGAACCAAAACTATTACAATAGACATATGTTTTATTATTTACAGTATTCCTAACATTCCCCCCTCAATCTTAGGGTGATTGATTTGGAAGATCAATCACACTAAGTTTGTTCTTTAACTCAAGAAAAGAAGATGCAGACAAAGGCTTTGTCAGAATATCAGCAACTTGATGGGAAGCTGGAATATGGAACACTTCAATCTGTTTGGACTGAACTTTCTCCCTTACAAAAAAGAGATCAATCTCCATGTGTTTGATCCTAGAGTGAAGAACAAGGTTATGAGCAAGTTGCACAGTGCTGAGGTTGTCAAAGTAGACCTTTGGAGTAGAAAAAGATACTTGAAGCTCTTTTAGTAAGAACTAAACCCATAGAAGTTCAGCTGCTGTGTCTGCTAAACTTCTGTATTCAGCTTCTGCTGAAGATCTGGCCACTCTCAGTTGTTTCTTGGACCACCAAGAGATGATGTTTGACCCAAGAAAGATGCATGAACCAGAAGTGGATCTCCTATCAACTGGATCAGATGCCCAATCAGCATCACAAAAGGCTGAAATTGGTAGAGATATGGTTTTCAGAGGGAGAGGTTTAATGATGATGCCATGTGTGATAGTGCTAGAGAGATATCTGAGTATGTGTTTTACTGCCTTCCAGTGATCTTGTAAAGGTGCTGCCATGAATTGGCAGACCTTATTTACAGCATAACTGATTTCAGGTCTGGTAAGAGTTGCATATTGCAAAGTTCCAACAATTGACCTATAAGTGGAGGGATCAGGAAGAGTAGCACTTCCTGTATTTGTTAGCTTGCAGCTACTAATCATGGGAGTTTTAACTCCTTTTGAATCAAGCATTCCAACCTGATGTAGTAAATCTCTTATATATTTGGTTTGAGAGAGATGTAGACTGCCATCTGTCAGTCTTCTGGCTTCTATTCCTAGAAAGAAGTCAATGGCACCCATGTGTTTGAGAGAAAAGGATGAGTGTAGTTTGTGAATGAGAGTTTGAATAGCTTTAGAATCATTTCCTATGACCAGAATATCATCTACATATATCAAGATGTAGATCTGAACTCCTCTAGTTGTGAAAAATAGAAGTGATGGATCACATTTGCTTTGCTGAAAACCTGCTGCATAAAGAACAGAGGTGAGTTTGTGAAACCAGGCCCTAGGAGCCTGCTTTAAGCCATATAATGACTTGTGTAGTTTGCACACTAAAGAGGTGTCCTGTGCTTGAAAGCCTGGGGGTTGAACCATGTAGACCTCTTCACCAAGCTTTCCATTTAGAAAGGCATTATTAACATCTAATTGCTGAATAGACCACTAATAAGAAACTGCCAAAGTGAGTAAAACTCTAATAGTGATAGGTTTTACCACAGGTGAAAAGGTTTCTTTGAAGTCAAATCCAAACCTCTGATGGAAGCCTTTAGCTACTAGTCTGGCCTTGTATTTGTTAAGAGAACCATCAGGATTTTCTTTAACTCTAAAGACCCATTTACAGCCTATAGCATGTTTGTCAGGTGGTAAAGGTACCAAAGACCAGGTTTGATTTGCTATTAAGGCATTATACTCATTTTTCATTGCAGAAAACCATTGAGGAGATGTGAGTGCTTGCTTTACTGACTGAGGCTCAACATGTGCTAATAGCAAGGTAGGATTAAGTCTAGGTTTAACAATTCCTGATTTTGCTCTAGTTTGCATAGGATGAGTGTTAGTTATATGGATAGGAATGGAATTTGAGGAAGTAGAAACAGATGATGAATGAGAAGGTTGTTGTTGTGAGGGTAGAATGGGAGTGGATGTGTTGGAATTTACAGAGGAATCATGAGTGGAAGGAGTAGAGGAATGAGTTGTTGCTTGACTCTGAGTATTGGAAGCAGTAGGTTGGGAGTCATGAGGCTGGAAATTATTGACTTGAAGGTCATGAAGTTGGGACTGAGATGACTCAGAAGTAGATGGAGGACTTGGATTTAGAATAGTTAGTGTGGCAGAATTTGGGTTAGGAGTAGGATTGATTGTGGGAATGGATGATTTGGATATTGATGAATAGGGAAATCTGGATTCATGAAATATTGCATCCCTTGAAATATATATTCTGCCAGATTTAGACAGACATTTATAGCCTTTATGCTGAGAGGAATATCCTATGAAAGTGCATTCTTCTGAGTGAAAATCTAACTTGTTTATTGTAAGGTCTGAGAAAAGGATAGCAAGAGCAACCAAAGACTCCAAGAGAAGAATAGTCTGGAACAGATCCATAGAGTTTAAAGTATGGACTGGAATTAGCAATGGACTTGGATGGAGTTCTATTAATAAGATGTACAGATGTTGCAAAGGCAGCATCCCAGAACTTGAAAGGTAAAGAGGAATGGGCTAGGATGGATAGACCTTTTTCAACAATTGTACGATGTTTCCTTTCAACCACACCATTTTGATGATGGGTGTGAGGACATATGATTCTGTGAGTGATGCCTTTTTCAGTAAGAAAATGGGTGAAGGATCTGAATTCCCCTCCCCAATCGGACTACTGATTTTATGGATGTTGAAAATTGATTTAGAACTAAATTGTAGAAATTTTGGAATGCTGTAATAGCATCAGACTTCTTTTTCAGAAAGTATACCCAGGTATATCTTGTAAAGGCATCAATAAAGGCTATGTAGTATGAGTATCCATCAAAGGATAAGATGGGTGCTGGACCCCATAAATCTGTGAATATGACTTCAAAGGGCTTATGATAAACAGTATTAGATGGATATGAAGGAAGCCTATGTGCTTTCCCAAGGCAACAAACAGAACAGAAATCAACATTAGTTTGATTAATAGAAGACACATTACAATGTTTAAGTACAGATTTAAGTGCCTCAAGATGAGGATGACCTAATCTGAGATGCCACAGATTACATG